TGGTGAAGCTTTCCTGTAAGCTTTTTGTTTGACTCCCTCAGTTTTTCATTTTGAATTTTATTTCAGTTTGGCCTTTTGTCAGAGATTCAGTGTCTTTACTAAATTCTTATTTCATGACTTGAATTGTTCTACTTATTTCATTCACCTGTGTTTTATAGATTTTTAATGCAGTTTTTTGTTTATAGCCTCTTTGAGTTCCTCGAACATAATTACAATTACTATTTTGAAATCATTATCTTGTGCATCAACTAGATTGCCTTTCTCAGGAAACATAACAATGAGGGTGCAAATTTTTGGAGGAGACATATTGTCTTAATTATTCATGTTGTTTGTGTTTTCATGATGGGACCTAGGGTATCTGGAGTTGTGTTGGTGGTGGGTTTGCCTGGTATGGCTCTATCTTACCTTTTTTGAGTGAGTGTTTGGATCTTTTTTTGCCATTACCCTAATATGTCAGGATGTGTCCCTGATGAGTGATTGGTGTTCAGTCTTGGATCCACTCTGTGTTGATATGCAAATGGGGTGTAAGAAGTGGTCTCAGTTCAGCTAAGGATAGGTGCAACTTCTGAACCTAAGGATCTAGGAAAGATTCAACATGGTCCCTCCCAGTGGAGTGGTGGAGGTGGCAGGTTGGTGGCTAGCTACTAAGTGAGCAGGTGGGCAGACAGGTCAGTGTTGAATTTTGATTGAAAGCACAGGTGTGATTCAAATTCAGTGATAACCAGGAAAACGTGAAAATGTAACTCTTAGTTGAGTTTGTCTGGGCTGATGCACAGGCTGCACAACACCAGCTATGCATGGTGGTGTGGGGATGGCAGCAAGGGCAGGAGAAATTCTGCAGAACTGACCCAGCTGAGCCTGTGTGAAGGCAGTGTGACTGAGAGCTAGGCCTGGGAGTGCGTGAAGGTGGGGAGGGAATACTGGGATGTGGAAACTCACCAGTCTGGCAGATGTGCAGGTGTGTGACCCAAGGTAGGCCTTGGGAGCATGGGGCAATGGACAGGGAATGCTACGGTTGGGGAACTCACCAGTCTGGTGCGTGTACAAGGTGTGCGACCTGAGCTAGGCCTGGGAGACTGGGATGTCTGAAAATTGGACTTTCTTAATAACAGGAAATATATTCCGACTTCAGGGTGTTGGCACAGGGCTCTGGCACACTCCTGCTCCTTCTCCCACTCTTTCTACCTGGCTCCTTCTCATTCATCAGGACCCAGCTAGAATGTCTCTTCCTTGAAGAGGTCTTCTCTCCTTTCATGTGGTAAAAATCACAAGAAATGCACACATCAGTTTCCACTCCTGTTCCTGACACAGGACTTCTAAATTCCTAGGGATTTCCTAGACTAAGAGTATCTTTTGTTCTAATGAAGAGACTTTTTCTGGTCTCCTGGATAGGGACTAGTACCAGAAAGACCAACCATGATTGTAAGCTTGGAGCTTTCAGTCTCTGTCTGCATTCTCCAAAGAGGGCAGAGGAGCTGAAATAAGCTTTTTTAGACTGGGGCCAATGAAATGGCTCAGTGGATAAGGGCACTTGCTGCCAAGCCCAACAACTTGGGTTCAATTCCCAGAATCCCCAGAACCCACATGGTGGAAGGAAATAAATGATTTCTGCAAATTGTCCTCTGACCTCCACATGCGAACTGCACATGTGTACACGTGCACAAATAAATAAGTGAAAAAAGTAAATCCCTAGACTGTGTAGCCTGGAGAGGTTCCTGGCTGAAAATGTCCATGGTGGGCAGGGCGGGGGCAGGGGGGATGCTACAACTGTGTGGAACAGATGCCCCTGCACTCAGGACCCTCCCAGACCTTGACTTTTATGTGTCTTCATCTGCTGTTCATCTGTACCCTCAGTTAATAAACTAGTCAATATAGTAAGCAAAGTGTTTCCCCCAAGTTCTGTGAGCTGTCTTGCAAATTAATAAAACCTGAAAAGAGAATTGGATGCCCAGTTTACTGTTGTTGGGATTGACATATAAAGTGAGGAGGGGACTCTTATGAGGTGAGTCCTTAACCTATGAGATATAAGACTGTCTCCAAGTAGTTAGTGTCAGAGTTGACCCCGTTGGTGTCTTAAAGATAATTGTTAAATGTGGGGAAAACTCTCATATGTCTGGTGTCACAAATGTATTGAGTAACTTGTTGGTATATGAGAGCAGGAAAAACACTTTGTTTTGGCCACATCCTTAACATGTATGTGAGTTCAAGGCCAGCCTGGTTTATATAGTGAGTTCCAGGCCAGCTGGGGCTATAGGGAGACCCTGTCTCAAAAAGACCAAAAAAAAATCTTGTTCTGTTAATTTCTTTCATAGAATTCTCATTGCCTCTTACTATCTTATCTTGTTCATTTACTTTCTTATTGTCTGACTTCCATACTAGGCTATAAGCTTTAAGGAAGCAAGAATGGGTTTCATGTCTATTTGCCACCATATATCCAGCCTCTGGGATAATGTCTAGCATGAAGTAGATGCTCAGCCAATATTGGATTAATATATACCCCAATATTAACATATTTATTAGGTAAATAATGTGAATCAACACCATAGTGAAAATGATGATAAAACAAGTAGTTTCCTAAGAGTCTGTAAGAAGAGACTTTCAAAATGATGTTGTATGAACAAGAGCCTACAAATCATTTGTAGTTCAGAAAATATTTTCACTCCCCTTTCCTTGACTCCATATCTTCTTAAAAATAATTCTCACCTGGATACCTGGGAAAAAATAAAGTTGCAGAATTCTAAAGAACATTTGCGCTGGTGTCTTATTTGAGGGAATTTTATTACATATTTTAAGATAAAGATATTTATTTGGCATATTAGATGTCTGTGTTAGTCATAAGTCACTTGATCTATCTGCATGAACATGTTGAGATGAAAGCATTTGAAAACCATGCTTTTCCCACTATGTTTAAATGACTCTCTATATTCATCTCTTACAACTCATAGTCAGTGTTAATGTTCAAGTATATGGCTTCAGTTATTTCTTTTGAATTAGATATCGTTAATTTTAAATATCGCTAATTAGGAATTTTATGATTAATTTAATATTAGGTAAATTATAACCTCGAGTATAGCAACTGAAATCAATAAAAAACTATTTGTTGGGGCTGGAGAGATGGCTGTTCAGAGCACTTCCTCCTTAATCACGAGCCCTGTAATTTGGATCCCAGCACCCACTTAACAAAAGTTGGCCTATAACCCCTGCTCTGGGGGATCCAACACCCTCTCCTGATCTCCCTGCACATGCACACACATGCACATGCACATATATACTAACACAGACACAAACAGAGATAATAATAAAGAGAAACAATTTGCAGCATGTATCTCTTTAGGAACATGTCAAGAAAGACTTTGGCAAAGGTAGAAGTAACTCAAAACTAGACATTTTCTATAACAAGAAAAATTCCATTTTCTTATTCTGATTTACCACTAAATTTTAGATTTGATGAGTGTCTCATTTTTATAGTTAATATGGAAATTAAATTTAACGTGGAATCCAACTTTTACATGGACTTGGAATCCAACTTTTATATTTGTAGATTAAGTAAGAATAAGTTATTTGCTGCTGTGCTCTGAATGTTTGTTTCCATTATAAGATTCATCTGTTAAAATCTCTATCCTTAGATTAGGGGATGGACCTATGGAGGTAATTGTCACAAAGATGGAGCCCTCATGAATGATACTGGTGTCCTTATAAAAGAGGCCTGAGAGAGCTAGCTACTTTGAGCCACCATGTGAGTGAAAAAGATGTGAACTAGAAACTGGGCCCTTGGGGCCAAAGAGATGGCTCAGCAGTTAAGAGCACTAACCGCTCTTGCAGAGGACCTGGTTTGATTCCCAGCACGGACATGGCAGCTAACAACTGCTCATAACTTCAGTTCCAGGGAATCCAACACCCTCTTCTGACCTCTGTGGGTATTGCATGACACAGGTGTACTTGTGTACAAGTAGGCAATACACTCATACACATAAAAATAATAAATAAAAATTTAAAAAAATACATAAAGTGGGCCCTCACTAAATACTGAATCTCCCAGCACTACCTAGATCTTTAACTTCTAAGCTTCCAAAACTGTAAGAAGAAATTTTTATTGCCTATAACCTGCATAGTTGATGAGATTATGTTACAGTAGCTTGACGACACAAGACAATATCTAGAGACATCAGATTTGTCTTTATATACCCGGGTATAAACCCCCCTGTCCCACCACTCCCTCTCCCTCCACCAGGGAAAACCTTCCAATGCCGCCTGCAGTCTTCAGATTTATTGGGTCTGGAGTCCCTCTAGTGGCTCAAACTTTGGGTGCATTTTTTAAATTCATAAACCTGCCAAATTTGGTTTAATGTAAACAAGCAAAAGAACACCAGAACTGTTATTATAGTGGTTTTCTGTTTTGTTCATCTGCTTGTTTGTCTGATTTTTTTGAGACAGGATCTCATTCTTTAGGCCAGGCTGGCTGGATCTCACTATGTAGCTCAGGTTGGCCTGGAACTTGTCTCCAGTGTTGGGATATAGATGGGAGCCACTAGGCCCAGCTTAGAGTAGTTTTCTGCAAGACTATGTCATTGAAGGTATGATAAATGTGGATGTACAGATGGGAGAAACAATAGTGTTGAGAAATGGTCTGACTCTAAGGAGCAGGGTAGACGTTACTGGCTGCCTGGGAAAGACATATGCAGTTGTACCGAGAATGCATGAACAAGAGTTTGAAGGCTGAGGAACAGGACATCTATAACCTAAGGCAAGGACGTGCCCTTTGAGGTGGAAAGTAGAGTGAGTATTTCCTGGCACTGGGTCCCACAAGGTCAGACTACTTAGCTGCTGAGCCAGCCCCTTCTTTCTGATTTTTAGACCCTCAGAGCTCTACGGAACTAGAATAAATTTCACAAGGTAAAGGCATCATGATTGAATTACCTCACAGGTATTTTATTTACATATTCAGTAGCCAGGTTTTTCTCTAAAGTCTTTTTACTTCAGAAAAATGCAAACTGTTATTGAGAAGTCTAGAGACAAAGAGACCAGGCACTAACATGATTGAGAGAAGAAAATAGGAATGTGCAGGCCATTTTAGGACATCCTAATGCTATATATTTCTGGTGCCTTTTAAGTGTTTCCAGCATTGGAGCTGGGAAAGTATAGTGGTGATCAATTAAATTCCTGTATGTATGTGTGTGTGTGTGTGTGTGTGTGTGTGTGTGTGTGTGTCTTCTGTCTGTCTGTCTGTCTAGAAGTCCATTATACTGTATGCCATTAAGTTTGAACAGAATGAGACCAGGAATTGGCATTGGTCCGTAGATCCCAGATCCCACATTACCCTCTGTTGACAACATATTCCTATACAATCTGGGGTTATAACAACAACCTCCCAACAGGACACTATCTGCAGTATCAATGGTTGTCTTGGGAATTTGGGCTGTAGTGAAGGTAGAAGTCCATTATACTGTATGCCATTAAGTTTGAACAGAATGAGACCAGGAATTGGCATTGGTCCGTAGATCCCAGATCCCACATTACCCTCTGTTGACAACATATTCCTATACAATCTGGGGTTATAACAACAACCTCCCAACAGGACACTATCTGCAGTATCAATGGTTGTCTTGGGAATTTGGGCTGTAGTGAAGGTGGGGAAAAACAAAGGTAGGAAGATTTGAGGAGCCTCAAAAAGAAGGCACATTTTCTTGCCTCCAAATATCTGTACTTCTCTTTCAAAAAGAGATAGGAAATTAACTTCCTGATAAATAGGAAAGTGGAACTCCATATGAAAAAGGAAGAGGAAAGTAGAAAGGTGGAAAAACAGTGGGCAGTAGTAGTCTTATGTTGACAGATATTGCCTCTGTACAAGTACAGGACTTAATAGACAGTAAGCACTCGTCCTATGAACAGAAGATGTAGTGGTTAAGCTGTTGCTAAAAAATATTCAAAGTAAAATCAGAACAAATGTATTGATGTGTTACATGTGTATCAGTCTAGTTTTCCTTTTTTTCCCCTCTCAAAGGGATTTTTTGGTGCCACACCCAGTTGTGTTGATGTTTTTCTATAGAAAGCAGCTTAGGCTTCCCCCAGTGGGCTACACCACTGGTTGTAGAAAGTGTCATGTCTGTAATCTCAACTACAAGTCACTGACGACATTAGCATTTAGATCTCTAAAATACTGTGCCCATGGGTGATAGCCAGTGCTTCTTCAGAAAATGGTCTAAATGTTAATCTAAAGGGTATGTGTTGATGCTCCAGTTTGAAGACCAGGAAAAAGCATGCAGGGCTGGTGAGTGCCAGAGTATAAACCTAAAAGTCTAGTGAAGGAGAGATGATGTCCCTCGAACTCCTGTCTAGACCATCTCCTCCAGTGTGTTATGATGTCCCCCAGACTCTGTCTAGACCATTTCTTCCAGTGTTATGATGCCCCCCAGACTCCTATTTAGACCGTCTCCTCCAGTGTGTTATGATGTCCCTCAGACTCCAGTACAGAAGGTCTGCTTAAAGCCCCAAGGATGGGCAACTCGTATCAGGAAACCGAACCCAAAGTCTAGGGAGGGCAGGCGCGCAGTCTCACTTTCCCATTGGCCGTTTCGACCTTCAGTCACCGCAGCGCTTGCGCACCACCTGCTTCCGGATAGAGAACCGAGCGTTCAGTCCCTCCGTGTCCGGGTGGAATTGCCGGCTTCCGCGGCGAGGTTCTGTTGGGACATGGCCCCGGACTCGGGGCCTTTCCCCGACGGGCCGCTCCTGAAGCTGCTGCCCGCAGAGCCCAAAGACCGGGGCACCCAGCGCTGCCGCCTGGGTCCGGCCGCCCTCCGCAGCCTGGGCGCGCACCTGGGCTCGGCGCTGACGATCGCGCTGCCGGGAGGCGGCTGCTGCCTGTGCACTGCCTGGCCGCGGCGGGACGGCGCGGACGGCTTCGTGCAGCTGGACGCGCAGTGCGCGAGCCCCAGGGCCGCGGCGTCGGGGGCCGCGGGGAGCCTGCGCCTGAGCAGCCTGCAACCGGTGCCTTGCCCGCCCCTGCGGCGCCTGACGGTGTGGCCGGTGCTGCGGCCGCAGGCGGGAGCCCAGAGTCCGGTCGCGGTGCTGGAGGCCGCGCAGGAGTTGCTGCGCAACCGGCCGGTCTCCCGGGGCCACGTGCTGGCCACTCCGCCCGGCTCTCCGGGCCCGGTGTCCGCGCTGCACGTGGTCGGCGGCACGCCGGACCCTCACCCGGCCGGGCTGGTCACACCGCAGACGGTCATCGCCCTTAGCGCCGAGCCGCCGGCGCTCGCCGAGCCGCCGGTGGAGCTGCCACTGGGCGGCCTTTCGGAGGTGGCCGACGAGCTGCGGGAGCTGCTCTGCCTGCCGCTGCGCTACCCGCGCGCCCTAGCAGCGCTAGGGCTGGCGGTGCCCGGCGGGGTGCTGCTGGCGGGGCCCCCGGGAGTGGGTAAGACGCAGCTGGTGCGGGCCGTGGCTCGGGAGGCTGGCGCCGAGTTGCTGGCGGTAAGCGCCCCGGCGCTGCAGGGCGCACGGCCCGGGGAGACGGAGGAGAACGTGCGGCGGGTCTTCCAGCGCGCGCGGGAGCTGGCCCGCCGAGGGCCCAGCCTGCTCTTCCTGGACGAGGTGGACGCCTTGTGTCCCCGGAGGGGCGGCGCACAGCGAGCCCCGGAGAGCCGCGCGGTGGCACAGGTGTTGACGCTGCTGGACGGCATCCACGGCGACCGGGAGGTTGTGGTCGTGGGAGCCACCAACCGGCCCGATGACTTAGACCCAGCGCTGCGCAGGCCCGGGAGATTTGACCGAGAGGTGACTAGCCCCGGCGGGTTAAACCCTGGTATCTCTCCTCCTTGGATGAGGCCGGATTGGGGCTGTTCGTAGCGCATCTGTGCCTGATAGTCACGTAGAGTCTAATCAGAAACAGGATAGGCATTAGGGGTTCGTCTTGTTGCGCAGGTCATGAAGATGAATGATCAAGATCAGTAATGTTAATTCTTGAGGATAACAAACGTATTAAACTGTAATAGCTTTGGAATGGGAACGGAAAGTAGGATTGCCCCCAAATGTATGTTGAAATAAAAATGGAGGAAGCAGGAAAGAAGTAGAAAATAGGCATTAACTCTTCCGTTTTATTCATCCCTTGTCAGGACACTTAGCCCACAGTTGCTTCCTGAATTGTCAAGAACGTTGACTATTCAATGCTGCCTTGCCTTACAAGCTTCGGTCCTAAATTTATGGTTTAATTTCTAAGGAATAGTTTGAAGTTAGTGATTAATGCTTGAATTTCATGGCAGGATTTTAAGAAGTGATAATCACACATTTTTAGCTTGATCTTTTCAGGGTTTAAGTGGCTTTCTTCCTTATGTCATCTATCATAAAGATTTTAAGTTGTATGCTTTCATTCTGCTTTTGCTTTCCCTGTAGGTGGTCATTGGAACTCCCACACTTAAACAAAGAGAGGCAATTCTTCGAGTGATTACCTCAAAGATGCCCATCTCCGATCATGTTGATTTGGGTCTCCTTGCAGAAATGACAGTTGGCTATGTTGGCGCTGACCTGACAGCACTCTGTAGGGAGGCAGCCATGTGTGCTCTTCTTCATAGTGAGAAGGTAAGAAATACTGATTTGTGACTGCCTATGTTCATCTTCTTTATTAAAGTGGCAATTTGGGGGTAAGAGTAAATGGTAAGTATATTATCTTGGAATGGTTGGTAGCCTCCATAGCTGCTTCATGTACATATTTACTCTCAATTCCATATAAATAATATGTTTGAAGATGGGGATAAAGGACTGAGCCAGGTAGGCCTACGTAGTGAATGTTCCTCATTGCCACAGTAACTCCCTAGTGCTAAAGCCCAAAGCAGCCAGGAAGGCACTGCAGCCCCAGAAGAATCAGGCAGATTTGAATTTTGAAATTTTTAAAGCAGCTACTTATACAAAAGTTAGAAAAAAGTAGAAAACTTTCTGTATACCCTTCATCCAGATTCTGAGTAATGTCCCACCACACTGACTTGGTCATTCTTTATATATTTGACTTTACATATATGTATGTTTCTGAATCATTGGAGACTACGTGTAGCCATGATGCCCTTTACCTTTGGGAAATGCAAGTGTAATTGCTGACAAGAATTTTAGCCACTGGTGATACTTTTACCTAGTAGATCTTAATCTAGAACTATCTTCAGTCTTTGTTCTGTCCCTTTTTAAGAGCTTTTATTAGAGTTCAAGTCATCAGTCCTGTAGACGTCAGTTGATTTTGGCTGATGCTTCCTCATGGCTTACTTCATTTTGGGCAATAATAACGAAACAGTCTATTTTTCTCATCACATTATGCAGCATTCTGGCCTATAGAAGTTAACTTTGATTTCGAGGACAAGATGATGTCCGTAAGTTTTCTTCATTGTCAAGATACTGTTTTTCCCTTATTATTAATAAATATCTATGGGAAAAATAAGCTTTTCTAACCCAAGAAACAGTTGGGTTAAAGATTGTCTTTGGCATTCATATCTTAATTCATGATCAATTTAAAACTATTTAAGATATTGCCTTAAATATATTTTTCAACACTATTGATTTGAAAACCAAGTCATTTTGTATATAATAATTCCAAGTCCCTAAACCTCATCAGCAAAAGATTAATTTTAGCAACTGAGGATTCTGTAACATTTCACCTTAAGTTACAGCATCAAAATTGTTCTTTTGACTTAAGCTATAAAAGGATGATTTTTCAACTTTTCATCCTAATAAGGATCATCATCAAATTTGGTACCAATACTGCTTCAGGTTCTTTTTTTTTTTTTTTTTTCGGTCTTTTTGAGACAGGGTCTCCCTGTAGCCCCAGCTGTCCTGGAACTCACTATGTAGACCAGGCTGGCCTTGAGCTCACAGAGATCCGCCTGCCTCTGCCTCCTGAGTGCTGGGATTAAAGGCATGTGCCACCACACCCAGCTACTGCTTGAGGTTTTAATGGGCCCATGTGTAAAGGTGTGAGAATATAGGTCCTTTGTGGGAAAGGATGAGAGTTCAAGAGATGGGAAGGGAAACACATTTAGGATTCCCTCTGCTTTGAAGTTCCAGGTTTGATCTGAAGTGTCTCTGGCTTAGGTGGACCAGTCAGCTCACTGCTACTTCAGGAGGGACCTCCCTAAGTCTAGTTACCACAGGTGACGGCTGAGTTCAGAAACAACCCAGGGGAAGTGGAAGCAAGAAGGGCCAGAGACATCTGGGAAGGTAAAAAAGCTACTATAGTTATGTGCTGCAGTCTTTTCATCAAAACAGCCAATACAGAGCAGTGACAAAAATCACCTAATGATACATTTGTCAGAGTGTGTCCCTATCATTGAGCAATGACCAAAATTAAGCAGAATAGAAAAGTACAAACTTTGCTTAAGACATCACCTTAGAAATTGCAATTGTTAATATTTTGGATAATACTACTCAGAACAGCTCTACCATATGTATCCACTTTCATGATCTTGTATAAATGGGATAAGTAGTTGAAAAATGGGAATTTGTGGACAACTCAGTGCTTAGTTTATGTATCTGAGTGTTTTACCTATATGTCTGTATGTGCACCATGTGTGTTCTTGGTGCCCACAGAATCCAGAAGAGGGTGTGGAATCCCCAGGAACTAGAGTTATAGACAGTTGTGAGCTGCTGTGTGGATACTGGGAATTGAGTCCAGGTCCTCTGCAAGGGCAGCAAATGCTCTTAACTGCTGAGCCAAAAATTGCTTCAAGAAAATTGTAAAATAAAAATCTAATGTTATAGAGAAAACTGTCTTAACAGCTAGAGAGGACATGATTTGCTAATTTGGACATTTGGAGAAGGATATAAATAATCAGACCTAAAACTAGGCAAGACACATTTAGCCCAATTTCCTTCCTATAGAAAGACCAGTAATCTAAAACAGTATTCACATCAGCAAGGCAAAACCAACAACCCAAGAAAAGATACGAGTGGGCGCTTGACAATAAAATGAGTGTCAGTAAACATGAAAAGTTACTCAGCTTCTTTGAAAATTACTCCCTTTTTGTTTAAACTCTTTATTTTCAAATCATTTAAAATGTAAGCAAGCTCTTAACTTTCTTGCCCTTCCTTCTGTGTATACATAATTATGTTTTGTTTTGTTTTTTATGGGAGCCGTTTGAAAACTGGGGTTTTTGTTTTTAGTCAGTTTTGGTTTTGGCATAAGTGATGCAGGTTAGTATTCTTACGGAATAGTCGGGTTCCAGGTCTGCATCCCTCTTGGGATGCAGTAATCAGTATTGTGTCCTTAACATTCCTATATGTGGTGGCACAAGGTATCCATTGGCTCCTGGTGATACTAACTGAACAACCAGTTACAGTGGTGTCCAGTTTCTTCCTGTGGAGCTATTTTCTCATTTGCCACTGATAAGAAATCTTTGAAGAGATGCTGTGAAACGTGACAGTGTCCTCTCCTCATCAAACACTCCTGTTCATAGCCAGAATAGCTTGTACTAAAAGTTGGAAAAAAAAAAAAAAAAGGTGACCGTGATTCCATTATTTTTTCCATTTCACTCTGAATTGAGGAATTTTAATAAACACAGTGTTGAATGCCAAATCTTCCTGTCACATTATCATAATCCTAAAAGTTTATTGGAGCCTTAGTGTGAGGAACAAGAGCTTCATATTATTGGAGGGGAAGAAATTACTGTGGCTTTCTCTGAGGACAGTTTGGTAATAGCTGTAGCTGTCAAAATTAAAATCGTGTATACTCGAACTCTATAATTCCACTTTGAGGAAATTATCATGTACTTGAACATTGGGATTTTCAGTTACAGCTTTGTTTTTATAACAAGATGGTTGATGACCTAATGTTTATCAGAGGAAATAGTTAAATTACGGTACATCCAGCCAGGCATACCTTTGATCCCAGCACTTGGGAAACAAGAGACAGGCGGATCTCTGTGAGATCAAGGCCAGCCTGGTCTACACAGCAAGTTCCAGGCCAGCTGAGCTACAGGGAGACCCTGTCTCGAAAAAGCAAAGAACAAAAACCTTATTATATATGTATATCATGGTGTATTATACTCTTGTCCAAAAAGAGTGACATAGAATTATCTTAGTTGACATGAAAAGATTTCTAAGATAAGTGACACAATATGAATAATATGGTTAAATTTGCTTATCTATTCATAAGGATATGTATGTTTATTATCATAAAACATGCTAGAAAAATACATGGGAGCTGTTGGGATCCTTTGGTGTAGATGCTATTAGGAACTGGTGGGGAGATAATCAATTTTTTTGCCCTATGTATAATTTTTTAATGATAATTTATAAAAGATTTTTAAAAGGCTTTGTGCTTGTATACTACAAAAAGAGCTTACCTAATTTTTGGTTTGATTTTTCTTTTGGGGATGTCATTCTTCAGAACCAAGACAGTCCGATGATTGATGAAACACACTTTCTTGAAGCTTTTAAAAAGATTCAGCCTTCATCATTTCGAGGTATCATTGGACTGACGGACATCAAGCCTGTTGGCTGGGAGCAGATAGGTGGACTTGAAGATGTAAAACTGAAGTTGAAACAGGTAACAGTTCTAGTCAATGTAGGCAGGTAGACTGCTACAGGGGGACATTCTGAGCAGTTAGAGTAAACCCTGCACTGAAACTGCTCCTACCGTTTTACCTAACGGTCTTATTGAGCTAGACTTCTATAGACATACATCAAAGCCAGTTTTCGTGTTTCCCCATTCCTAACCCTCTTTTTTATTTTTGCTTTAAAGAGTTTATTATAATACAGAGCAGAGGTCAGCAAAGAGAGAGAGTAAATCACTGAGCCATGCAGGCTCTGCCCCATTCCTTGGTGTCACCGCAGGGTGAGAGCAGATCGTGAGCACATTTGACCTCTGTGTCCACAGGTTCTGCATCAGTGGATTCAGCCAACTATTGAATTGAACAGATCCAGACATTTTTCTTCTGATTCCCTAAACAGTACCGTGTGCCAACTATGTACAAACTATTTACATTACCTAGGTAGTAAAAGAATCTAGAGAAAATTTGAAATATATATAGGATGTGTGTAGGTTCTGTGTGAATACTATCTTCCCTCAGTGCTGGGGATTGAAACCAGGGTCTTTTCATGGGTTTGTCTCATTTAATCTGAGAGAGGTTAGCCATGCTTTCCTTTGATACTCCTTGTTGGCTTAGTTGTGAAGCTTTCCTGCCTCTCTGAGCACTCTTTTCCCTTAAATGGTGCTCCAGGAGGCTCGTGGACACCCTCTTTTTGCAGTCTAAGTTTATGAGCACAGTGTCTAAGACTGTCTTGTTTGTTTGAGCAGGGTTTCCCTGTAGCCCCAGCTGGCCTGGAACTCGCTATATAGACCACTCTTGACTTGGAAATCTGTATATATCTTGAGTAGACTTTTCTTCAGGTTAATCAGGACTACTTAGCTGCCTGCCTACTAGATAACCACAGGGTCATCACTGTATCATCACTGTATCTAAGGTCCAGCTAATCACCTCCACCTCCACACTTAGATCGCTGCCTTGGTGAATGCAGCCAGCCAGCCATCACCAGTGTCAGAAGCCATATTGTAATGCACAGGGCCAGAACTTAGTCCCTATGTAAAATGCAATTCTCTTTTATATTTCGTTATCAATTCCAGCCTTGCCATCTTCATTGCCTGTGGCAGATCCAGCCTTATGATTTTTGTAGCATGGCTCATTACAAGAGACGTCTAATTGGTCTCTTCACCTTCAGTTTCCTTTCCTTCCAGAGCATCCACATATTTCTGCAGTGCTGCCTGAAACTTTCCGGGTGTCTTATGCTCCGCCTCATCCTCCACCTAACTGCAGTCAGGGTTCCTGTTCGCTGCTGGGGGAGTCAGTTCCATGGCTTCATGCATCTCTCTTTGTAGTGTTCTTCTTGGTGCCCTTTTCAGGCCTGGCTATTTCCCTCTATGCAAAGATCTTACACTTCCTTTCTCCTTGCTTGAGGTCACTTTTGGTTCAGTAAGCTGAGCAACTTCACTCCTAAAGTTTCTAAGCCCAAGTTTCTATAGCTATAAAATGATGGTAAAACCATTTACCTTAGAGGTAGCGAGGTCTTCGGGGGTCAGTTAACATTTACTGAGTGCCTGCTTTTGGCAGGTGTCATTGTGTGTTCTAAGGATTTAGCCCTGGCTTTTGCTGACACTGTTGCAAGAGCAGAATGACAAACCCAAGATTTGGAAAGAACAGTAGTGATTTTACAAATGCTCTGAGTAAACACTAGACAGAAGCACAGACGGTGGCTAGGAAAGGAAGTTCTACTTTGGGGTGGTTAGGGAAGTCTTTAAGGTGGTACGTTTGAGCTGAGGTGTGGGAGATAAAGAATAGCCACACAGATGTTCAGGCACAGGGTAGGGTGAAAAAAAAGGCCCTAGGGTGTGAACAAGCCATGTATTGGAGAACTGGATCTGTCAGGCCTTGGAAGCAGTGTTAAGAAAGGAGTTTTGATTGGGATGCTATGGTAGTTTTGATGGGAAGTCACTAAAAAGCGTTAAGCAGGGAGGAGTGCAGTGTGACCTAGGTTCTGAGATCCTTGGCTGGTGTGCACATTTCATAAAGCTGGGAAGTGCTGAGTGAGGAGGGATTTAGGATGTGACTGTTAAACAATTCTGTTCCTCTTCGTCTGTTTACAGTGTGTTGAGTGGCCTCTGAAGTTCCCTCAAGAATTTGTTAGGATGGGCCTGACACAACCAAAGGGCCTTCTCCTCTATGGCCCCCCTGGATGTGCCAAAACCAGCCTGGTTAGAGCCCTGGCCACAAGCTGCCATTGCTCTTTTGTCTCAGTGAGCGGAGCTGACCTCTTTTCACCTTTTGTTGGAGATTCAGAAAAAGCCTTGTCTCAGGTTTGTTTCTCTCCAGTATATTTAAGTTTACTTTTGACTTTTAGTTCATGTCTCATAGATAAACCTTATTTTCAAAAGTATTGATTGACTTTTCCCAATTATAAAAGTTATACATGCTTAAGTTTAAATAAGAGCCCCCTGTAATCCCTCTACCTTTGTTCAATTTCTTCTCTGTTTTTATCTATCTACAGTTTTACTGTGATTTTTTTTTTTTTTTTAATGTGTGTAGGTATGTGCATGTGAGTGTAGGTCCCTTCAGAATCCACAAGAGAGCATTGGATCCCTGGAGCTAGAGTTACAGGCAGTTATAAACTGCCTGAAGTGGGTGCTGGGAACCAAGCTTGGGGCCTTGTAAGAGCTCTATGTGCACTTAACCACTGAGTCATCTCTCTAGTCCCTTTATCTTGATTTTTAAAATTAACTTGGTTGCTGGGTGTGAGGCAGGTCTCCTGAGTTGGGGGTTCTTTAAAAGCGGCGGGGCGGGGACTGGAGAGGTGGTGCAATGGTAAGGGCAGCCAGTACTGTTAACCATTAGCTATCACTTCAGCCCCTTAAATATCTTTTAAGAATACAAACTTTTAACTGCTACCTATCATTAGCCATTATTTTATTTCTTTATTCCTGGTTCTTGAGCACTTAAAATCTTTACTTTTCTGTTTTAAAAATTGCAAGTAGTCAAATCAAGTAGGACATAGAATCATGTGGATAGTGTGTAACATTTTTTTCCCCCTGACCAAAGGTATTTCGACAAGCAAGAGCCAATACTCCAGCAATTGTGTTTCTGGATGAAATTGATTCCATCCTGGGCTCTCGCTCAGTTTGCAGTGCAGGATGTGATGTTCAGGAGCGGGTTCTTTCTGTTCTGCTGAATGAATTAGATGGTGTGGGACTTAAGACAATAGAGAGAAGAGGAAGTAAATCAAACCAACAGGGTAAATACCAGGAGCTGGAAAAATCCAAGAGGTACTTATTAGCCAGATACACCAAAATTCAGGCCAGCATTAAATAGAATTCCTACATGGCTACTTTTCCTGTGCTGAGTTTATTTTCGAGAAGGATTTATGTAATATCATTTGAATTTGTGGCATTTTTATAGGGCTTGTAAAAATTGTGATTTAGCCAAGAAAAGTGAAAATTTTTATAATTGTATGTGAATTCTGTACTTCCTAAGAATGAGAAATGTATTTTACTTAATGGAGAAGGGAATGCATTTTCTTGTCTTAACAGCTCAGTTGAAGTAAACCACACTAGAATTAGAAGGGACCCTGAGATGGCCCAATTTCATAATGCAGGAATTCCCTATGTAGCAGCCTGTTACTCTGCTCAAAAACGTGCTGCTCTGAGGGATAAATCACTGGAGAACCTCTCTGATTGTTCAGCTCAGCAAATGATTTTGATTGTGGGCCTTGCCTTTTCTTTTAAATGTTCTTCTCTTGGGCTGGGGGGTGTAGGCCAGCTAGTAGAGTGCTGGCCTAGCATGCAGGAAGCCCCAAGTTTTATCCATTGCACCACATAAACCAGGTATGGTAGCACATGCCTATAACCCCAGCACTTGGGAAGTGGAAGCTGGGATCAGCTCAGGGCCATTCCTGCAGTAAGTATAGAGCTCCAGGCCAGTCTGGGACATGTGAGACCCTGCCTCGAAACAGAAACAAATGTTACTTCTCATCCAGGGTGTGCATAATTGCAGCTTAGGTTGTTCTGTCTTTGAAAATAAAAATAAAAAGTAAATTTCCATCTTTGAGGATATGATAGGCAAGATTTTCCAGAGTCAGACATCTCCCAATTAGTCTTTGTAAGTAGTATCTTGAGTGCATTAGGGGCACTGGCCAGGTGGTCTTTGCTAAGGTGTAAGCCTTTTCATCAGTTCTCACATGAAGAAATTTGCCTGTCAGGACTAGCCACACATTTCAGGCACACAGAGTAGCTCTGCTTAATGAGTTTATGTGCAGTGTGTTGATACTAAGAAGGTGGTCAGGATGGGGGTGTAAGCATTCTGGTCCTAAGGAAAGTTTATTCCTGTTCAAAAACAAACAGGCCTTCTGGTGTGTAACTTCACTGTGTGAAAGAGTCTTAATAAATAGCAGTTTATTGACATTACTTTGTGTTGTTTTCCTTCAGGGTGTCAAGAAGTTTTTAATCGAAATGTCATGGTTGTGGTGGCAACAAATAGACCTGATGCCTTAGATGATGCCTTGTTACGGCCTGGAAGATTAGATAAGATTATCTATGTCCCCCCTCCAGACCAAGAGGTAATCACTGTACACATTGCCTCTGCACGTTCTTGGCAGTGCGTTAGTGCACCATCCATAGTCATGATGTCTGTGCTCCAAGGAGTGTGGCTGGATTGGATTCCAGACTGGGTATAGGTGGACTTGGTGTCTGCTCTCACTGCTCAACACTGGTCTCTGAGTTCTTTCCTTGGTGGCTCTTCATAAAGTTGTCTTCCTGTCTGCACGTGCTGGATACCTGGCCCTGCTTTTAGGGAAACGTGCCAAAAGGTGGTTTCAATGCAGCAGACCCAGTGCTGAGTCTACTTGTCCTCATTATGCACTGGAATGTAGGGACCCTGAAGCATTAAAGGGACAGCAGGGGCTTTGTGGGTCAGCACCCTCACTCTTAGGAGAGTCGGTGGTGATTATGATGTGTCCAGTCAGGAAGTCCTTTGCTCTTAATGAATGCCCAGAGCCACTGGTGGGTCGTGAAGGGCTCAGACAATTGATTTATTCTTGAGCTAAATTCATTCATATCTTGGATTTTTATCAAGTTTTAAAGAGATTTAAAAAGTAAATGTCTGTGATACTTTAAATTGTGTCTGATAAACCATGCGTTTGCTTCTAAAACTGTCCTAATAGCACTATTTGTACCCAAAAGAGACGGTTACCTCATAAAGAAAAATGTTTATGTTGGCTGCTTTAAAAATTAATTATAAAAATAATAAAATTTTTCATGGTATTGTTTTCCCCATTGCCATAAGTTGATTGACTCTCAAACATATATTTTCTTTCTCTATAATATGATAGAAAATACAAATTTACAGTGTTTAATATATGAACATCAAACATAAATGTTTTAAGATTGTAAATATGTGGTTTTTATTGTATTCCAGGGCAGGCTTTCTATTTTAAAAGTCTGTACAAAAACCACGCCAATAGGTCCTGATGTTTCCTTAGAAAACCTAGCAGCAGAAACCTCTTTCTTCTCTGGAGCTGATCTTAGAAACCTTTGCAAAGAAGTAAGTTAATTAGTGAAGTAATTGTCAGTAAATTACTGTTCAAAACATTTCTGCACCCAAATCTTCATTCACTAGGAGTACTTGCTAAAAGGCTTTTATGTGACCAATACTATTGAAATGAAGCAAGATATGGCCCCTTCCCATGCAGAGCCTGCAGGCATTGACAAATGGGTACAGAGACACCCTAGGTTGTGAGCTGAGGGTTCAGAGTGCTTCGAGAACACAAAGGAAGGATGTCAGCCAGACATGGGAGTCAGATAAAGCTTTCACAGGGAAATGGAAAGCTGATAGAGAGTTAACCAGCCAAGGGAGAAAGGAACCATTTTAAGCAGAGAGCAAAAAAGGTGCAGAAAATTGGAACTAAGAGAGAACATGATGTTGAGTATTAGAGTAGAGAATGGAAGAAATGAATCAGTGGCAGAAACCAGGTCTCCTGGGTCGTTTTAAGCTACTTTATGGTGTCCAGGTTTTGTTTTGAGGCAGAAGAAGCCATTGTAGGCTTTTCTTTATCTGGAAGCTTTTACTACATATAAAATTCAGAAGAATGCACAGATCATAAGGATATAGTAAAGTGACCATACTTTGATAACTACCACTATGTCAAAAAGTAGATTATGAGTATTCCAGAATCTTCCTTGGACCACTTCCACCCACTGTCCCCTTCTGCCTCTCATGAGGGAACCACTCCCTGACACCCAACACTGGAGAATAGTTTTGCCAGCTTTTGAACTTTATGTAAGTGGAACCATGTGGTTGTATTATTTTCCAAGTGCTTTTTGAATGCAGGATTGATTGAAATGTATCTTTGGTTTCCTGTGCACTCTTAATGCCATTGCTTTATAATCGAGACTATAGTCTACATTTATTTATTTATCCATTCTTAAGTTTTTGAATGTCTGAGTTTTTCCTTTTTGTTATTATGAATTATGTTGCTGTGAACATTTTTCACATGTCTGTTGGTGAATGTTTGGAGTTTCAGCACATATTTATACATACACGTGCATACACATAAAAGTCTACGAGGAGAGGTGCTGTGTCATAAAATAAGTGTTCTTTCCCTTTATGAGCAGTGCTACCTAAAACCCTTTCCCACCCTGGGTCAATATTTCTCTGGTTTTAAAAATTATATATGGACTCAATGTGTATGCTATTCTGTACATTAATCTCCCCTGCCACCCCCCCCCCCCATTTAAGGCTAGATTGAATGTAGGAGAAATTATGGTCTAAGATGAATTTTTATTCACTTTAAATTTTTAGCTTAATATTTTTGATGGCCTGACTATTCGAATCCTCTGAGGTAAGACCAAGGGTTTTCATTCTAATTTACTATTTTCAGTTATTCTTGATTTAAAAATAAAACAAATTAAGCCAGGAGTGGTAGCACACACCTTTAATCTCAGCACTTGGGAGGCAGAGGCAGGCAGATCTCTGTCTGTTCAAGGCTAGCCTGGTCTACATAGTGAGTTCCAGGTGGGGCTACAGGGAGACCCTGTCTCAAAAAGACCAAAAAACAAACAAACAAAATGAAGCAAATTAACCACTCCTGTTGCTTGTCTCTTACAGGCTGCCTTACTTGCTCTACAGGAAAATGGACTAGAAGCAGCCACAGTGAAACAAGAGCACTTCCTACAATCACTTAGGACTATGAAACCATCCTTAAGTCAGAAGTACTTGACCTTGTATGAAAACTTATTTAAGAAAGAATTTTCCAATTTGGAAGCTCCTTAAAAATTACCCTTTATGTAGTTCACATGAATTGGAATGTGAACTTGCTGGTAGTTTGCAACTTCACACTTTTAGAGTCTGTGTATTAAGAGAGACCGACAGAGACTTGGCTTGACAAGCTAAGGATCATCTTATTTCCAGAAGGTATATTAAAATACTGTAAGAAATATATGTGTATGGTTTTGTTAGGGTAATTGTTTTTAGTTTATTTTTTGTAACTTTGAAATAATTTCATGGTCACAGAAAAGTTGCAAGAATAGGAGGAAGAACTCTTGACATTCTCTAACCCAGATTCACCAATCTTTAGTATTTTGTCACATTTGTTTTCTCCCCCTCCTCTACACACACAACTTCTGAACACTTTGAGAGTCTAATAGATGTGTGAGAAATGTATCATCAGGCAGCTTTGTTATGAGCATCATAGAGTAGTTTGGTTATTCAGAGATAGCCACAGCATCGGGAGACGATACCATACTAGGGGCTTGCTGTCTTATGCGCTTGTCGTGGACTGAAGCATGCCAGTCTTTGTGACTATGTGCATCACGCTCCAGCACTGCCGCAGTAGTCAGTGTGTGTCTTACAAATAAAGTTGTCTTATTTTACAGTTTACTGACCAAACTCAGGAAGTTGACATGCTATTGTAATATATCATCCAATGACTTTCATTCTGTCCCAGTGACGGCCTGTATAGTAAATTTTTTCCACCAGAGGGCCCAGTCTAGGATTACACATCAAATTGAGTTGTCCCCTGTCTTTGGCTTCTTAACTTGACAGTTCTTCACTCAGTCCTTCTGGACTGTGACATCTTTGAAAAGTGTAGACCAGTTACTTTGTATCACAGTCGATCCTGGGTTTGTGTTTGTCAGAGGATTCTTTGTTAGGTTTTGCATCACTGATGGAATATTCATGGGTGGCTCTCTTCCTTAGTATCCCAGCTGGAGACAGGTGCTGTCTACATTGTTGGCGATTCTAATTTTGATCACTATTTATTATATTGTATGGTGTATACTTTTTTTAACCTTTCATAATTATAAGTAATTTTTAAGGCATAGATTTGTTTGTTTGTTTTTTCCTTTACAGAAGCAATTACAAACTGAAAATCTTGGTATTTAGCCTTCTAGTCCTTAATGGACATATAGATACTTGTGTTTAAACCAAAAGATAATGCTGCTGCAAGACTTTTATGTATTTTCCTCAGCAAGTAGCTGGTAAACATCTCATTAGACCATTCATGGTGGTGTCTAGGTGCTGGAAGGTACAGTGAATGAGGCAGACATGGCACAGACATCACACAAATCAGTGGATTCAGTGATGGTGGGAAGTACTTCACAGAAGTGTGGGGTGCCAGGACAACACGGGACCCAGAAGCTGGTGGAGGGTGCCTAGGTCTGGCTACAGATTACTTAGGGAAAGATTTGCACAGTTTACAGGTGTGAAATAAAATTCTAACCACTAACTCTGATTTTGAGTAAAGGGAAAATCCTTAAACACTTATTAGGGTTTTGATTATTCATGTTCCTGCCGTACTATACCTGGTAAACCCCAGTGCAAGCCCCTTCACTTCTGTGAACCTCTTGTTTTATCCTTGAAAACCTTGCTAGTAGTCAAGCTGGAAATAAATTTACCCACACTGACTCAGGCTGAATTGATTTGAAAATACCTTTGAAATGGTAATTATAACAAATACTATAATACATTTTATATTAAAATTATGTAATATAATGAAATATGGCCATTGTATTCATTATCATTCTAATTTAGTTCTGTGTTCTCAGTAGAACTTTGGAAGCCTTTGGAGACCATGTTTTTGCTGTCACTGAAAATGTCCAATAAATGGAAAAATATGATTAGCAAGTTCTTTGATTCAGTTTCCATGATTTGAAGATTGCTCTAGACAACTTCCAAGACCCTTTTTGTTTGTTTGTTTGTTTGTTTGAAGCTTTTGCAATTTCATTAGAATCTTAAAAATCCTCAGGGCAGATGAGCTGGTAATCTTGGCAGCTGCCTTGAGGAGGTGAATGGTGGGAAGAAGGAAAGAGCCGTGGAAGCCATGCAGGTTTAGAGCCTGCATGGAGGTCAGACACGCAGCTGACTCGCAGCCACATGGCTGGGAGAAGGAAGCTTTAGAGAAAAAGTGACAAACTACAAGTTGCTAGGGGCAACCCAAAGCCTTAAAGCATGTTTAGTAAGAAAGACATGAAGAAGAAAAGGAGAAATTACACCTTCCTGAAGAGTTCAGGAAAGCAGACAGACTTACAGGGACCTACATGACTGTGGCTGGTCTGGTCCGGAAGGTCTGCAGAGATCTATGCCAGTTCCAGGCAGGAAATATTCGCTACCTCATTAATGCACCAGGTATTCTGCCCATCTATTTAGCATAACTTAAAGTGAACATGCCTTCCTAGGAGTGGTCCTACCACCAGGTAATTGACCAGTGAGACTGGAACAGTGGTCCTCCAACTGATAGACTAACATACTCTAACATTCCCCTCCTCTGAAGAGATAACCCTAAAATCTTTTCGGGATTAGATAAGAGCTCCCAAATACTTTTAGCCAAGAAAGAAACTGGCTGCTTTTCTTTGGGGTCTTTTTACCCCAACTGCCTAGCCAATTCCTACTTCCTTATCATACCACCGTCTGAAGGGGTTACTCAAATTGCTGATAGGGAATCAGGACACAGACAGCTCTGGCTTCTTCCATGTTGAACAGGGATGTAGGGTGAGGCAATTGGGGTACCCCCTCAGAAGGTCTATCTAAAAAACTCCCAAATTCCATAACTATAGGGAGAAAAGAAAGTCCTTGACTGGTGCCCAGGAGATGTAGAGGAGAAGTAAAGGCAAGAGTAGTTAAGTTCTAGACAGGGAACCAGAAAAAAAGTCAGAACAGGGCAAATTTCAAATGTTCAAATCAAAGTCCATTGGAATTTCTTGACAAGAGCTTCCAAAAGCATCCATCAACTGGTTTCCTCTTTTATTTTCCTTTTGGCTGCCAAGGCTGGACTCAAGAGTGATGAACTCAGGATTTGATAGCTGTTAGAATGGCTAGGATCAGTTCCCTCTTAAATGTCCTCTATAGGGAGAGTAAACAAATTTAGCCATCATTTAATTTTCAGGCTAGAACAGTCGTGGGTTGTCTCCCTCATCTGTAGGTGGGCACTATAGTATTGCAGACCAAGATTTGAAGCTTTACACCTGAGCAGCATTTTCTTGTTAAGAACAAAATCACTGCTGAGAAATAATTGTCTAACATTTTACCTGGAGTGAAGTCTCATGTCTGGGAAATGCAATCCTTTGGACTCTTAAAGAAATATACTGGTCACTTTAATTTTTGGTTATACTTTCCTTTTGGGTGTTTAAGACCACACAGTTGGCCCAAATAAACCAATTTACTTTAAGGTCAGTTGAGGATCTGGTCCTCAGGGGTCACATGGGCTTGGGAGGAGCCCCTGGCTTCTTAGGCTTTTCTTTTACCAGTTCCATCTAAGTCAACGGTCCTGCTTGACTGTGACTAGCTTCACTTGGAAGCATGGAGGAAATGTTTCCTCTGTGTTGACCCTCCTCTTTGTAGACTGGACACTGGCTCAAGTCCATCTTGTGGGGTCTCCATAGCCTCCCTGGACAAGAGGACAGGTGACTCACAACAGTTACAGGACATTTCGAGAGATGTTCCATAGCCCCCTGGAACTTACTTGACATTGGAGGGCAAGGAACAAAAACTGTCCTTTAAGTCCCTCTGATCAGATTAATATAGGTCTCAAAGTATGGCTATTAAACACCCAAGAAGGTTAGTTACACCAGTCTGGTACTTTTAGTTACCATGTGCCATGTAGATAAAGCTTGGGAAAAAAACAAACATTCTTAGATAAACCTTGACTAGACATCCTTAAACTAGTTGACTAAGCTATGACCTTAGAAATTTTAAGATTAACTATATATTATTTTTGTGTCATCCTTGTTATAACAAACCTACATAGACCTTCAGCACTTGCTTTGGCATTCTCATTTTTTCTGTCTATTCTGGAAATATACAGCCATCATAATTTTCATAAATAAATCCTTCTTAATAAAATATCCCCATTCTCATATCTTTCTAACATCTTTTAACTTTCCATCTTCTTTCTTAATAACCATGAGACTTAATAACATAAATAAATTTTCCATCTGTTGCAAGAATTCTCTTCCTGGGGATACTAAGCAATGTTTACCCCCTTTCTAAGGTTCTGGTGTCAAACCAATGTTTGATTACATTAAAGTTCACCCTGGGGAACCAATGAATTTACAGTTTTTACTTACAGATATGAGTGAGGAGTTACTGACATATATGGGGGGCCCGAGAGTACTTGCACTGGAAAGCCTTTACCCAACATGTATGTTGACTTTTTATAACCTCATGGGTCAAATCCTCTTTTCCAAGCTTTCCCAAGGTTATGTACTATAATCCTTCCCAAATGCAGATTATTTGCAATTAGGGCAGAATTACATACAGCTGGCTGAGAAGAGCGGCTGGATGCTCAGGTGAGGGTTCAATGACCCTGCTTACCCCTCTTTTAATGAAGGAACACAACTGTCAATAAGCCCAGTTGTGATGATCTTTAGCAAGTAGACACAGCTGAAGTCATGAAGATGGCAGCTATTTGGCTCAGAAGAGAGTGCTGTGCAGCATCACATTAAAAGAACATGGAGTCTAAATTACACACATAAGATAATGTAATAAGTTAATATTACCCGTGTACACACTGCGCTTTCTAAGTTCCCAGGTAAACCTTATAGAAAACACAAAACAATACAACTTTTTTACCGTACATAGTTTAGAGTGTCTACCAAAATCTTGCTTTAGGTGAAAGAAGCAAGTGGTACATAATTAAACATTATCAAATTGATGTTTACAACCTCCAGCATAATAAATTAAGGAAAACTGCCATGCTTTAGTTCCTGACTGAGGAATTCTAGGCAGAAGATCCTCTGTCCTCTCCATCAACTGTAAGTTGTCTTTTTTTCAAAATCGATCCTGTTGGTTTTTCATTAAAGTAGTTAAATTTATCTTTGTATTTACTATACATTTACATTAGTCTGTGTTAGTGACTTTCCTCATGATTGTGACCAAATAGAGAATCCCATTAACTACCTTTACTATAGACAGTAACACCCTCTGTTGAAATTAGTTTACGCCTTAGCTGTTCTCAGCTGCACAGTGCCTTTACTCTTAGGCTGTTTTGTTGTTCTCCTTTTGTTGTTCTTTTTCTTGTCACAGGGTCCAAGACCATTTTTTAAGAAGTGGTCTATCTCCCACTCCCTTAAGATCTTTTTTCCCCTTCCCACCAATGGTCCCTTTGTAATTTCCAATATTCCACAGGTACTCCAAATTAAATACACAACTTAAAGACCTGATGCTAAGATCCACATATAAGCGAGAATGTATGATATGTGTCTTTCTGGGTCTGGGTTACCTCACCATCCTCTTACCCGAAAATTTCATGATTTCATTTTTATTTATAGCTGAATAAAATTCCATTGTATATGGGTGCCAAATTTTCATTATCCATACTTCAGTTGATGGACGTTTAGGTTGTTTCCATGTCAGCTATGAACATGGATGAGCATGTGTCTCTGTAGTAGGAAATTGAGTCCTTTGGGTGTATGCCCAGTAGTGTACTGAAAAGTGCTATGCATGCTTCTGGGGGTGGGGGGGGTCAACAGTCTTATTCAGCTGTGAACCCTGTGAATGATAATAATGGCTGGCATGGCAAGATGCCCATGGGTACAAGAGTGGCATAATGTTAAGGGGTAATAAATTGCTTTCTGATTGGACTTAAAGCTCACTCCAAGGGAAGAAACATCCCTAGTTCTGCAAATCTGGCCAAGAACTCAAAGCCCTGAGGTGAACCTACTACTATTATTTTGATAAATGGACATAGTATCAAACTACCCTCTTAATTCATGTCTCTCTACCTGTACATCAGTGCAGTTCTCATACCTCATTGGAGAAGTTTCTTTTTGCAGTGAGTGGACCGTGATAGAAACTCACAACTAGTCAAAGTGCCTAGAATAAGTACCAGTGGAATACTCAGCCACAAATAAGACCACACACACACACATTTTTCCCTTCCCCCTCCAAGGCTTAAGGACCATCTAGGAAGAGGGAGCATAAAGATTCTAAGAGCCAGAGGTCTGGGAGGACCAGAGCAAAATAATGTCTTCTGGATGCAAGAGGATCATTCTACTTATGAACTCATAGCAGCTGCAGCTGCCTGCACAAGATCAAGCCAGTCAACATTCTAGCATGGACCAGGAAGGGGTTCCCCAGCCCCCACCCCCAAACCGAGGAGCTATTGACAGTTGATGGCTTCTGAGAGAGGAGGGTCAGTTTTCTTTCAGGATGTGGCCCTTGGTAGGTCAACTGTGCTCCAGTGCCTGGCCCACACCCATGAGTATGTGGGCAACACAAATTGCGCTCAATGGACTATTTTTATAAAGGGGTGCAAAATGGGGGGTGGAATTGGGGGAGTAGAGGGAGGGAATATCATCAAAATACATGTATGAAATTCTCAAGTAGAATTTTTAAAAAGATGCTGTCTTTTTGCTCAGTGTGCCTGCACACATCTGTGATTCCAACACTCATGAGCCTGAGGCAGGAGGATCTTGAGTTTGAGGTCTTGGGCTATGTAAAGACCTTGCCCTAAAAAAATATTTCTTTTACAGGTTGAGCTTCAAATGTGTGTGCATTTCTTCAGGAAGGGTCTTATACTGGGAATTTAACCCAGGCTGAAGGATGATCTAACTTTGACAATGTGATGTAATGTCATCTACAAATATGTTGAGCCACATTCATAGCTATTCTAGGGCACACACAGCCTGAAGGCCACAGGTTGCACACTCAGGCACATGTTAGCCTAGTGCTTTATGTGTATGGATGAGTGTATTACCTGCATGTATGTAAGTGCACCCGTGTCATACAATGCCTGTGGAGGTCAGAAGAGGTTGTCAGATCCCCTGGAATTGGAGTTACGGATGGTTGTTAGCCGCTATGTGGGTGCTGGGAACCAAACCCAGGTCATCTGCAAGAGTAGCCAGTGCTCTTAACTGCTGCGCCATCTCTCCAACCCCCCATCTGTAAATAATTTTAAAATGTTTAAAGGCTCTTATTCTTAGTAGCAAAGAGAAGGATGCAGTGAGTTCTGGTGCTGGGAGCCAGATCTGTGTTCTGATTTTGTCAGCACCGCTCACTAAGATGTTTGCCTTGAACATCTCTGAGACCTACCGACTATCCACCTTGCAGAATGGTTGGAAGAACGCAGCTCAGTGTCTGGCTCACCGCCACCGGCTTAGTGAAATTATTTCCAAGGAAAACTGTGATCAGAGGCTGATGAGTTAGAAGGGGACCCGAGGACAAGCCAGCAGTCTGACTCCTCAGCAGAAATGGATGTTTGGAAACTTCCGCAGTTGAATTTTGTTTCTTCGCCCTTAACCATATATATAATTAATAGAAGGAATGAGGACACTGTGGGTGTTACTCTGAAATGAACTTTACAATTGCTTTTTAATAATCGCCACATGTGTGCCTCGCCACGTTTTAGAACCTTTATATGGTTCACTTAATTCTAATTTACCCCCTGCTCCTGGAGGCTCTCCTGGGACTCACACTGCCTCTGTCAGCCCCAGGGCTGCTGCGCCCTCCCACCCCACCCCTGCTGCTGCTTTTTTCATGTCCCCCTTTTAAATGAACTTTACAATTGCTTTTTAATAATCGCCACATGTGTGCCTCGCCACGTTTTAGAACCTTTATATGGTTCACTTAATTCTAATTTACCCCCTGCTCCTGGAGGCTCTCCTGGGACTCACACTGCCTCTGTCAGCCCCAGGGCTGCTGCGCCCTCCCACCCCACCCCTGCTGCTGCTTTTTTCATGTCCCCCTTTTGGAAGCATTAGGTGTCTTTCGTCCAACTGTGGCCATCAGTGCTCTGTCCTTGGCTTCAGACTCCCTTTCCGCTCCCTGGATCCAGAACCTCACAGCCTGGGTTGCAGGTGCTAGGGCGAAGGGACCGCCGGTAAGGACCGCGGTCAGCGGCCGCGCCGCGCTCTGCGTCCTGCAGAGGGCGCCCGCGAGCTAGCCGAGGGCGAACCCGGTCTGTTCTGAGCCCGCGTGACCACAGCTCCCGCCCTTGCCTGGCGGTTGGTATTTAAGGGACCGGCTCCGGGTGCTGGCATCTCCTGCCTGCCCAGGTGCGTCGCCGTCTCCGCGGAGCATGCCCTCCCCGCCCCCTGGCTGGGTACCACAGGCTTGGGTCCTAAGGAGGATGTCACTGATTCACGTCTTGAATGGTTTCTTCTAGATTTGGAATTCTTCTCGGAAGTCATCATGGGCGTTTTCCAAACCTTGATGAAAAGGAAGGAAGTAAGTTTTTCAAGCAAATTGAAAAATCTTGACTGAAAGTGTTCATTTTTAAAGAGGAAAAGACACTGAAGGTATTGAATGTCTTTGAAAATTTTCTCGTATTTCGGAGGTTTTATACCGAATTTATCCATCTGTTATCCCTTAGCTCATTCCTTTGGTGGTGATCACCGCCGTGGCCGCAGGCGGAGCCTCCTCTTTCGCCCTATATGCCCTGCAAAAAACCGACGTGATGTAAGTACACCAAGTCCTTCTGTATTAGAACGTTTGGGCCACCAGTTCTGTAAACAAGAGTATCAAAAGTGTGGGCTTAGAGTTGACTGAAAAACACCTGGGTATTGGAAAGACTTAAATTGTGGCACCTGTCTGTTATGTCTGAACAGGCCCCACTCTCCTGCAAGGAGGTAAAATTTGTTTTCTTTGTAAACTTAAGTTTTGTGAAATGTAGTGTAATGAAATCATTGTTGAAATCATTGTTGGGGTGGGGGATACATATCACCACACTTAATTATTTTAACTTTCAAAATTTCAACTTAAAAAAGTTCTTTCCTAGTATAGTAGAATTGATGCATTTCATCTGTCTGCAATGAACCCTATTTTCTCAACTTTGGATAAAAGAATAAAAAGCCATGTCTCATGGGATATGAAGAAATGAAACTGGCTGTGAGTTGTCCAGAGCTGGAGAGGGCAGTAACTCTAAGAACAGGCGAAGAGGCAGTGCCTAGAACCAGAGCCTATACGCCTCAAGCCTGGCCCCTCACCCCTCCCAGAAACCCGACTAAGACCTCAGCCTGGCACTTTCCATTGCTACCTGTCTGTGGGAGCAGTCTCCAGACCTGCCCTGCAAATAGTCTCCTGCCCTACCCTGCAGAGGAACAGTTCTTTAATAACGGAACCCACCCATGAAACTCCCTTAGTGGATCCTCTGTCAGCTTCAGCTATTACTGGTTCCTGAGGTTGATGGATGACTGCCCCTCAGTGTGGGGACTAGGTTGTCTCCAGCAACTTTTTGTCAGCATCCATCAGAGTTTAAATGGATTTGCTTTCATTTAATAAGTCTTCCTTTATTTTTAGTCTTGACCGAAAAAGAAATCCAGAACCTTGGGAAACTGTGGACCCTACTGTGCCAACAAAGGTATTGCTGAATTTAAAGCAAGTGATTGACAGACTTTACCACCTCTGTCAGTAAAACCTTACACTTTAGAATGCCATTTAATGTCGCTTTGATGATAGTGGAATAGAGTTGTGGAGATTTAGTGCAAACCCTTACTCTGTTAGTCAGAGATGACTTTAGATGCTTTGGCTTCTCTGAGGCTCTCAGAATCTGTAAAATGAGCTTGATAATGTGACTTTTCCTCACAAGTCAAAGAATTAAAATAAAACACACAGAGCTGTTTAGCCCACTGCTTGGTCCGTATTTTGCATTCAAATAAAAACCTTTATTGTTATTAGAATACATTATCTCATTTTTCCATTGCTTACTTAAAATTAATATGAAGTGTGTTGTGGTTTCACAGGAGTACATATCTCCCAGTGAAAACTATTATTCACTCAGTATTAAAAGACCATTACAAAGGTTTTACCTTTTGTGCATTTTTTTGTTTATTAGTGTGTGTGTGGGGGGGGTGCATGTGCCATGACTCTCATGTGGAAGACAGAGGACAAATGGGGTGTCATTTCTCTTCTTACACTTTGTGGATTCCAGGAATTGAACTCAGGTTGTTGTGCTTGCCTTTACCCACTGAGCCATCTCACCAACCTGGGTTTTATTTTTTATAATTTCAATAGGCTGGAGACTAGAAATACTGCGTTAGGATGAACAGTAATTAGAAATATCAGCAAACTTTAAAAACATCAACACTGTGATAACATTTAACCCAGTGAAGGGCATCCCAGATACCTGCACATGTCTCCCAGGTGCTGAGCAGTGAGGGAGAGTGGGGGTGTCCAAATGAGGACGGTCCTCAGCTCTCTCCCTTCCCTGTGTTCTTTACTGTCTTCATTAAGCTACTGCCATGAGGAAACTTTAAAGGCTGTGTGCCTAGCCCTGTGCTAGGAACATTGTGCATCCACTTTGAAGGAACAGACATACCTTTTGAATTTAAATGCTACCTCGGCAAATTAAAAAATCTGGATACTATTAATGAAAGTAAGACAAATATATGACTGTTTTCTCTGGTCTCATAACATAGAAACCCAAGGGCTTTTTAGGGGGTGGAATGCTAGAAATCAGTGCAGTTTACTCTTTTGTGCTTGTTTCAGAGATGAGCAGAGATGTTTTTCCTTAAGGGAGTGTGGACCAATCCCCAAAAGGGATACAAATGTGGAGAGCAAACCTTTAACAAAACACTTTTATTTCTTTTTTAAAGCTTATAACGATCAATCAGCAATGGAAACCCATTGAGGAGCTGCAGAAGGTCCGGAAGGCATCCAGATGAGCCCGCTTGGCCTCTTCCAATGAATGCTCTATGAATCTAGTGGAAACATTTCTGCACAAACTAGATTTTGGTACCAGTGTGCGGAATTGCTTCTGCTACATTTCTAGGGTTTGCCTACATTCTGTGGACTCTGCATAAGCAATTAAAGGAAGTACATAGTCCAAAAATAATTTTCTGTGTTTATTGTTGTAAATTTAAATTTACATTTGAAATTTTACATTTATGATGTATTCCCTGAAATGTATAAATGTGTGTAAATTAGATTATCTGTAATAAAATACTACTTCTGCATTTGTGCAAGATGTCTAAAAAATTAAATAACTTAAAATAAGGAACACTTTTAAAAATATTTTATGTGTATGAGTGTTATTGCCTGCATGTATGTAAGTGCACCTGTATTGTGAATTGTCCTCGGAATTAGGAGAGAGGGTATCAGATCCCCTGGAACTGGAGTTACAGATGGTTGTTAGCCACCATGTAGGTGCTGGGAATTGAACCCAAGTCCTCTGCGAGAGCTGAGCCATCTCTTCAGCCCTGAGGAACACCTTTTTATGGGAGAAAGCAGATCTCAAAGCTCAAAACTTCATCTTTTAAACAATATCAGGTACACATTTCTAGATTTTTTTTTTCTAAGTTCTTGCATCCCCAAAATGCATTGAGCATCTGTTTGCAATGAGCAAACACAAAATTTGGAGGGATATGATTAAGAGCTGGTGAGTACAGGAGAAAAGGAAGTGGAGACAGGTGTGAGGCCTACCTGAGGACTGTGGGTGAACAGGAGTGCAGGGCACCCAGAGATCAGTCCCACAGATGTCAGTGTGAACTGTGCCGCTCCTGTGAGGACTGGGAGTGGGGGCTGGGAAGGTTTGACCAGCATCCCGCAGAGTCTGTCCTGCTCTTCTCTGTGACCAACAGTGGCTTGTAAATGAGGTGCAATCATACCCAGCATGCCCCTGGGGTTCCCTTGACTACTCTTTTAAAAAATGGAATCGACAAGTAGGAAGCTTTCCTTTTTTTTAATTTTTATTTTCTGTTTATGAATATATTGCCTGTATGTAAGTGAGTGCACTGGTGTCATACAGTGCACGGAAGTCAGAAGAGGGCTTCGGAGTCCCCTTGAATTGGCATTAAGGATGGTTCATAGCCGCCATGTGGGTGCTGGGAATCGAACCCAGGTCCTCTGCAAGAGCAGTCAGTGCTCTTAAGCATTTAGCCATCTCTCCAGACCCAGGAGGCTGCTTTTCATTAACTGTAAAATAAGTTGAGATAGAATTCACATTTCATAGTAGTCATTTAAATTGCACAGTTTGGTGTTTTATTATATTTATGAAGTTGTGCAATCATCTTCATCAAATTCTCAAACATTTTCATTACTCTCAAGAGAACCCTGTGCCCGTGAGCAATCACTCCACTATCCCTGACCCCTTTGCTCCCAGTCTAAAACAAACACTAACAAACTTTGTTTCTAGGCTTGGTCTGTTCTGGGCATTTCATATAAGCAGAGCCATATAGTATCTGTGGACTTTGTTTCTAGCTCTACCTTTCATGTTTTCAAGTCATTCATGTTGTGCCCTGTACAGTAACCCTCCCTTTTTCTGAGGAATTCTATTGGGTTGTGTGACTATTCCACATATTGTCAATCCATTTGCAAGTTGATGGACATTTGAAATGTCTACTTTTGGCTGTGATGAACGATGCTAATATGAAGAGTCACAAGTTTTTTTGAGGCCATATTATTTTCATTTCTCCAGATTATACACCTAAATTCATTAACTGTTACATTAAGATGATAAATGCAGCTGGGCATGGTGGTGAATGCCTTTAATCCTAGCACTCAGGAGGCAGAGGCAGGTGGATCTCTGTGAGATTGAGGCCAGCCTGGTCTACATAGTGAGTTCCAAGCCAGGTGGGGCTACAGGGAGACCCTGTCTCAAAAAGGCAAAAAAATAAATGCATTAAGACACATTAAGATGATACATGCCTTAATTTTTTTTTCTGTGCATATAATGGAAATACAAGAAAAGGGCTAAATTCTTGCCACTTTCATAGCAATAAAAACCCACTTGCACTTGGCAGTTTCGAATGGCTCAGTGCAAGACTCTCCCACACTTTGCTGCTTCCTTATCACCTCAGATTTTCCCAAAGGAAAACCTTTGATGCTTGATCGCCAAGAATTATATGTAACAATTGCAAGTTACATTTTTATTTGCTTAAGTTTCTCAAGTGGCGTATGATCCCATTTAGGGAAATAAAAATGAACAGCCTGATGATGGTTGGTCAGCCATAAGAGCAAAGTGTAAAGTGTTCTTTGAGGGGAGACTGTCGTTTGGCCTCCAAACTCAAGCCTGACTATGCTGAGCGACCACAGCCAGGGAAGGTACTGCTCTGCAGGTCGGGGTGGGGGGGGGGGCAAGAGGGGCCAAGCTGTGATGTCAGGAAAGAAAGTGATCTGTTTCCAGCCATGGTGTAGAGCTACTCCCTCAGGACGAAAGAAGACCTAACAGGAGGAAAGCACAATAAAGCAGTCTTCATATAAGTCCAAAGTCCCAGCTAGGTGAATATCTTTTTTTTTTTTTATGCCTGGTTAGTTGGGTAGAACTGTGACTGGGCAAAAAGGTATCTGAGCTACTACTGATAGGCTGCCGGGACCCAGCAAGGTCTTTGTAGACTCTTCTGGACTCGTCTCTGCAGCGTTCTTTCCGGGAATGGGGCAGCACACTTTCTGAGACATATAAACATGGTAGGTCTGAGAATTTCTCTGGCACACCCTCACACAGAAAAGTAGGGAGAAGTTAGAGTAGCGGTTTTAGGTCCTGTGGCTGGCTCTGGGGATCAGGAGCTGTGATTTCGAAGACCTATCTTGAGAAAGAGGGATTTTAGTTTCTACAGTCTAGGGAGAAAAGAGAGTTAAGACAAGAAGGCACAAGAGCAGAGAAATGGCTTCCCAGGCTGCTCTGAGCACTTTACTTTGGGCTTCCATTTTCTCAGCCCTCATAACACTTTCGTTTCAAAAAGATGTCTAAGGGGTTGAAGAGATGCCTCAGTGGTTAAAGCACTGACTGCCCTTGCAGGACCAGGTTCAGTTTCCAGCACCTACACGGCAGTTAGCACGCATAACTTCAGTTCCAGGGGATCCAACACCCTCTTCTGACCTCTGCGGGCATTGCATGACACGGGTGAACTAACACACATAAAATAAAAATAATAAAATATATTTTAAAAGATTTCTAAAACTTTTTTTTTTGTTGTTTTTGAGATTGGATCTCTCTGTAGTGCCAGCTGGCCTGGAACTCACAATGTAGACCAGGTTGGCCTTGATCTCACAGAGATCCACCTGTCTCTGCCTCCTGAGTGCTGGGATTAAAGGCAAGTGCCACCATGCCCAGCTCTAAAACTGTTATACAATGCCCTCGGAGGTCAGAAGAGGGCATCTGGATCCTCTGAAACTGGAGTTAAGAGCAGTTGTTAGCTGCCATGTGGGTGCTGAACCCAGGTCCTCTACAAGAGCAACCAGTTCTCTCAACCACTGAGCCATGCCTCTAGCCCCCTAAAACTGTTCTTAAGCTAGGCATAGTGGTGTCTGTAATTCTACCATTTGGAAAGTAGAGACAGGGAGATCAAGGCTAGAATTGACTACGTGAAACTTTGTCTCACAAACTCCTGAACAAATGAATGAATACATACTGCATTCTTAGAACTGTCTGAGAATTGTTCATACCAGTAATATCAGAAATCTGAGACAGGAGAACTGCAGGTTCAAGGCCAGCCTGGGCTGCATAGTGAGTTCTAGGCCATCTACATGGTAAAACTGCCTCAAAAACTAAAACAAAACAAAAATAACAAGGAAAAAAAACCCTCAGTATATATATATATATATATATAATCTCACCCCCTCCAAGGTTCAGGGAATGTGGGGAAAGGGGGCGGAAAGAATAAGAGCTGGAAGGACTGTGGCTATGGAACACTGACTCCCAGCCTTATATGGCTGTTGTACTTTGGCCTCACACAACTGTGACCACCTGCAGAAGGTCTGCACAAGACTGGGCCTGTCAACACACAGTCATGGAGGGGAGAGGGGCTCTTGGCCCCACCCATCCCTGAGGATTTATACACAGTTAATGGTTAACTGAGGGAGGGAGAGACATTTTCTTCAGTAATACAGCCACTGGTAAGGTGCCCATGCTCCTGTGAACAAATTCTCACCCATGTTTTGGTAAACAACCTAATAAAACACACTGGATCACATACACACAAAGGGCATGAAAGTGGAAGGGCTGGTTGGGAAGAGAAAGGAGATCAGTGGGGAGCGGCAAAAGAGGGTAATGGGGTAAATATAAGTGAAATACATTCTATATGAAAATGTCATAATGAAACGTGTTTTATGTGTAATTTATGATGCTAATAAAAACATTAAAATAACAGGAATATAATGCTAAGGGCCTTGTGCAGAGCAGTTGACTACAGGTAATGTTATCCAGATAAGATTATCCTGGGTATGAATCTAAAACCCAAAATTTTTATCTGAGCTATGAAAAGGGCAGTTTACTGTAGTTTAGATATTGAAGAACTCTACATCACTGAGTCCTCTGTGCTGGTCTCACCCATCTGACAGGTTAGGAGAGGGAAACACTCCTATGAGCAAATCAAAGCAACACTGTGAAAGTGAAGCAAGGGTAGAAATGCCACAAAGGAAAGCATCCCAAAGAAGCTGGGCCCCTAAAAGGCTAAGCGGACTAACATTCTTGAAAAATTCATATTTAGAAGTCAGCAAGGTAACTTAAGTGGAGGCACATCTTCACTGAGGCCAAGAGGCAAAAAATAGCTGATATCTGCTGGGAACTTGAAGGCATTTACTGCCTGGAATTTTTAATGTCAGAGTATGAAGCAGAAGAGACAGTTGCAAAAACAATATCCATTATCCTAGACTGCAAAGAAATGAAAGCAGGATTTTAAACTGAAGATGGTACCTCAGAAGAGATTTACTGCAGCAGGTGGAGGTGGCAGATGTGCACTGAAGAACTAAGAGCAATGCCAGTCAGTGGTCCATGGCATGGGGAAGGAGAGCTGAGACCAGCAGAAGCCATGGCCGAGGAAACTGGGATAAAGGGGATGCATTTGAAAGGCTTTGGAACAATCAAGACAAGACCTCAGGCTGGGGGATGTCCAACACAGCTCACAGATTTCTCACATGGGCTGCTGGTGGGTAGGCAGGCCAGGAAGAAGGAAGGAATGGGGAACAGACAAAAGAAATCAAGGTAGGTTCAATGAGCTCTCCAGGAAGCACCATCTGCAGGCAGGTTTAGGGCAGTAAGACCGCGGGCAG